TCAGGTACTTCTGGAAGCATCAGAGAAGCGATATCTAAACGCTTTTCAATGTTTCTTTTCCAGATATCTCTCCACTGCCTCTAGGGATTGCTCTTCACCTTGGACTCTTATTTCTTGTGCGCGGCAAGGAGGACCCCTCCCCTCTGCCTTGTCCGTACGCGTTTGAAGATTCCAGTGGAAATAGTGGGAAAATGCCCATTCCCAACTCACATTGCAGCCACGTTGGGGAAGCAGGCTGACACGAAATGACAGCTCTGTTGTCCCATTCTGCAACAGGAGTAGATTCATCTAGACAGTGTCATCCTATAGGAAGATTCATGACTTGTACTATGTGGTTTTTTAGCATGTTGAGAGGAAAAAGGCTACAGCTCTTCACAGCTGGGTATTTGCTGTATAGAGACAGCAAACAGAAGAGATGTACCAGTCCACCAATCATTTTTATTGAAGCGGCTGATATGAAACATTGTAAATCTTTCAAAATGCATTGAGAAGTCAGACTTCAGCATTGGCCAGCTTACATGACAACGAACACAAAAGCAGTGGAGGTGGATTAGGAAGATCAAGCAGAATGAATCTTATCCAGAAATGGATGAAAGAGAATGGAAATTCCCAAAGCTTTCAGAACAAGCACAACACTAAAACATGAGCCAGCTTCTTCCCAGTCTGGGACATTACTTATTTATAGACAGCATGAATAAAGTTGATTTATCGGAATCATTGACATCATTGTTTGTAAAATCAGTGCTGGAGGATTCCCCCTGCATCTCAGTGAGTTATTGCTGTGCTAATCAATCCTTGAACAAATTCAGCTTCACCGATAGCAGAGTCCAAGGAAACTTGGGGTCTCTGTTTGCAAGGAAAGTTATGCCCAGTTTCTCCAGTAATACAGTCCTGAGAGAGCTCTTGGGACCTCAACATTGTGCAAAGCTGTGCTAGATGGAAAAGGCTAAGATGATTATAGTGCCTGGGGAATTGAAGTACAATTGACATTGTGTCTGAGTGTTTTGTTAGATTTCATTCTGTCTTAAATAGAGGGCTGTGCACTGCAGCAGACTGGGAGGTGCTTCCTGAGCTCACTGTGCACCATCAGCTGTCCCCATGGAAAGGCAGTTCTCCTGAGTTAGAAACTAATAA